TCAGCAAGCTAGAGGAAAAGCCAGCTCATTGTAACAGGTGCTAGTGAGCATGCTGTTGGCTAACGTAAACCTTTTGTAACAGGCAAACACTCAATGGGGATTTCCTTGGCTTTCGCTATGTCCTATGTGCTACCCTTTAATGCATCAACATTCACTCCTTTGACCTATAATGTTATAACGGTTGACATTGACATCATTATGAACATGTGATAACCTATGATGCAGTGTTTGCCAGACGTACAGGTATTGATTGGCTGGGTTTGTTTTTATCTGTAAAGGGCACATTTTCGTTTTGAAGACAATGAAAGATGTATGTGCACCTGCTCTCATCTACTTAAAAGAAGGCAGGGCTGAAACACAGCAATTTATAAATACCCATTGAACACAGAACACAGTAATTTGTAAAAACGCAACATCTTCTACCACTCTCCCCACAGTCAATTTAAATTCTTCTCCTTATACCCAAGACCAATATGCTTTACACTTCACACAACCACACAAACTGGGCACATTACGTTAATAGCAAATTGCTTTGAGCAAGCTGAAAGCCAACAGGCATTAAAGAGGTATAATCCGTAAGTTAATAGCCTGCAGCTACAGATATATAAAAATATATATACCTGATTTAAATTTGGCCACCCCTTTGAAGTGGTTATCTTTTGCAATGATACACCAGTCCCAGTGCTCCTACTGCAATGGGAAAACGCCCTGGAAATCCCATTGTGTAAGTGTAGCAAGCAGTGTAGGCGAAGTGTGCAGAATCTCCTCTATTGTGTCAAAATGCTGACCCATACACTTGAACTTCATTTTGAGTAAGAGGTCACAGAGAACCAAATCTGACAAGTTGGTCAGGTGAAAAGAGACAGTTGTCTCTTAGTGTTGTCAAAAAGCTTGAGCAATTTTAACATGTTGTGAGGCATGCATTGCAGAGTTCTAGACTAACTTTTTTTTTTTTTTTTTTTTTACTGGTAGCACAGGTACGAGCAACTATGAAAGCTGGCTGCACTTGTGCTACCTGGGCACAGGCCGGAAATGTATCGATAGACAGTATAATTTACCTCTGTTCTCTCAACGCCTCTCTGTGCAGTCTGAGGTAGATGCTGCTAGGTGGCTGCAGTGCTCTCAGACAGGTGTATGAGCAAAAATCACTTTGAAAAGAGTAAAATAAGGTGTTCTAAAGTCAGATTTGTGTAAGATGAAACGGAGTTGTTTTTATCTATATGCTCTCATTTCTTTTTTGCTCAGCAGAGTGCGTTTTTAAATTTAAATACCACAGTTTGTCATGTTCATGTGATAGCGGGAGGCCAAATCATGATTGTAAAAGGTAAATGGTCTGCCCATATATAGCGCCTTTCTACCTTGTTGGTATTGAAAGCGCTTTACAATGTGTTTTTCATTCACCCATTTACACACATTTATACACCAGTGGCAACAGAGCTTCATTGCAAGGGTGCTGACCTGCCATTGGAAGCAACTTTGGGTTCAGAGTCTTGCAACCTTACAATCAGTGGACAACCCACTTAACCACCTGAGCCACAGCCGCCCAGTGTTCACAATTGTGACTATTCATTTGAACTTTCCTACAAATGCGTTCGCCATTGTAATTGAATGTATTATTTTCCCTGTTAGTCTGTGTCTCCCTGTCTGCCCCTGCACTCTGATCATCAGGTGTGTCTGAGTTGAACTTCTTCCTCTCTGCCTCCTCTTTCCTCAGTTTTGTTTGTGGAAAGCACAATAGCTAACTAGCTTGTTTTCTTCATCAGGCAGGGGCAGGCTGACAGAACTACGGAAGAAATAAGTTATAAGTATAAGGTTAATGTTACCCACACTGGTTAGAACGCCACCAAACCAGCTTAATGATCACTTACTTGCACATATGCAACCACTTGAAATCTTACTTTGCACACTCTCAAAAAAAAGCCTTGATCAATCGTCTGGAACCCTGTGGTGGCACAATGGCATGCTCCACAGTTAAATTTTTTTCATCGGAATGGTACAGAGGAACTTGGGTGTCTGTCTTGGGTCATAATGAGACCATTTTTTTGAAAGTGTGCAAGTTAAAATTTCAAGTGGTCACATTCTTACAAGTGGAGGATGATCATTAAGCTGTTTTGGTGTCACTCTAACCAGCACAGGTAGCTACGCATTACCCATAGTAGTGAAAAGTAGTACTTCTATTTTTTTCCCTGGCCTTGTCAGTTTGTCCCTGCCTGGTGCTATTTGGCTGTTGTGCATTCTAAAGATAAAGCAGTCTGTAGCTGATTATTTTAAAAACAGAATTGAGGAAAGAGGTGGAGGCCAGTGAAGAGGGAGATGTCCAACTCAGACTCACTTGATGATCAGGGTGCAGGTGAGGGCAGGGAGACACTGGCTGAACCAGTGAAAGGAAAAGTGCAGAACATTTAATGACAATGGCTAACGAAGCAGTAGGGCTGCAAATTAAATGGTTATGAACCACAATAATGATTTTAGCCTCCCACCATGATATGAACATGATCAACTGTAGTACTTTCGTTTAAAAATGTGAAAAACTGAAGCGTCCCGACATGCGCTTCCCCACTCATAAAAAACAGCGCATGTCAATAAAATCACTTGGTTTCTTCATGGGCAGTTCTGACATTACAACACCCCATTTCACTCTTATCACAGTAATTTTGGCTTACACATCTGTCCAAGCACAACGCAGCCTCCTATCAGCATTGACTGGAGCCTGCACTGTGAGGCGTTTAGGGATCATGGGTACATGCAGTGGCTTTCGAAAAGATGTTAAGCAAGTGAGGTGTTTTGCCTACTAAGGTGGGAGAGATGAGCAACTGAGGAAGTTGGTCACACTGGTGCTACTAGTGAAAAAGCTAATCTGATTTTCAGATACATAACAGGGCTCCAGACTAAGTCCAGTCCCTCTTCTCTACCAGCAATGTGGTCTGACTCACCGGATGTAGACTGCAAGTATAAGCCTGTCATTTGCTGTACATTCAACTCAGCTTTGTCCTCTTCTTCCGCTATCTTTGTGTTACTGTTTTCAAAATCCCCTTTACTAAAGGAAACACCAACATCCATCTCCAAGCAGCTACCCACCCCCTGAAAATTTCAAGTTTTGCAGAGGATTAATCAGGCAGCTCTGCTAGTTTTTAATTGGTGAATACCATTTTAATGATAGTGCTGGCCTTCTTGTATGCAGATACTCCACCAAAAGAATTGTACCCATCACTATTTTGCCGGAACACCATTGCTGCATACTTGGCTTACCACTGCCCATAATTTTTGTGATTAGTTTATAGAAATACAAGTAACCAAGTGTTTTTTCCCACTCTGTAGCAGAATGGTCTGCTATACGAGACTGCACAAGTCTCTATACATTTGGGAAGAGGACGGGGGACTTACCTCGGTCAACACTAATGCAGCCAGTTAAATGTTAGAGGCTCCAACTTTTTTTTTTCTTTTTTTTTTTTTTTATCTTTGCAGTCTTGTAGATTCAAGTAATCATTTGAAACAGTGTGCCAAGTTATTCGGATGTTTTGTGTTGTTTAATATAACCTGTACATGGAAGACAATCATTAGATACGGTTTTGCATTAGGTTATATATTGAAAATAAACACAACACAATTTTATGATTGATTACAAATTATTATGATAAGTAAAAGTTGTACTGTAGAAAGTTGTGCAATAAATTGTTGTGAAGATGGTAAAAGTTTTCTAAATATTAGAATTGTATTAGAAGACAAATCTTGTCTGTTTAAAATGATCTAAATTGTCTAGTTCACACTTTTGCTTTTGCTGTATGAATTCGGAAGATGACCATAATTCTTTCTTTACTGGCCACAAGAAGACATTCGCAATTGTTCACTGCAAAAGTATTTGCCATTGCTAATTCCAAGATTTACATTCCCCCGTGTCATGGAGCTGCACATTACACAGTCTGAAGTCAGCCTTTATTGTGTTTGTAAAGGAGCTAAAATGTGTTTAACAGCCTAATAGCTCTGTGTTAAGAAAATTAAGTCTGCATGATATTTTTCATTTGATGGCCTCCTTATGAAGTAATATATATTGATTTGCATGTGTGTGGAGAAAGTAGGGCTTGTTGATTTAGCTAAAATGTTTTGTATGTCAATTTAATTGGGAATTATTGATAACTTTTAAATGGTAGACTCCTACCCTTTACCTCTGTTTGGTAAAGGGTAGGAGATCTATTTTTCATTTAATTTAACCAGTTCAGCCAATTGTCAAAGTACACAAGTTAGGACTGGGTGACATAGGTGAAAATGTGATCAGGAAAGAGTGTTTCGTTTCGATAGTAGCGGTAGTGCAATTGTTTTTGTTCATTTATTTTTTTGAAGTACGAACAGCTGGACTGTTACTCTCCGTGCTTATTGATTGTCAGGCAAAACTTAGCCCTGGCGCTCATTTGATATGGGAATTTTGTACCCATCCCTAACTCCCAACCCTGGTCAGAACAGTTTTCATGCAAAGTTTCCACATAACAGTGTTCTGATTTCAGTCAGACTTTAAAAACATTAGAAATTGCCATACTGGCGAGTTGGCTTTCCTTTCCAACAGCAGTCATTTTGTCACTCTGCTTCTGCTGTTGTATCACACGCCGATAGAGCAATTGAACAACTACATGTTTAGCGATAGGCTATTATCAGGAATATGATCTGCTCTTTAGGTGGCAAGAAGAATTCACGCCTAAGGTTTGTTTATGCTACTGAACTTGCATCTGAAAATACGTTTAAGTGAAACTAGTGAACATTCTATTGAACCTTTTCTTATATCAATCATGGTAATGTCTATCAATAGATGCATATCGTTTTAGTTTTATCTCGAAGGCTCAGGAGAGAGTATCTTTTGAATGTAGTGTTCCTCCTGTCCTGATGACCAGTGTTCGATATTTAAGAACTCACACATGTAACCTTTCCAACTCTGTTGGTCCTTTCTTTAAATTTTGATATGAGGATGTGAATTACCATCATTTTACATGGCACCATTTTTGTCATTGCAGCAGGCCAATGAGGCTCTACATCACCAGCACCAAGTAGCTGGAAACAGCCTATTGCCTTTGCTTAATTCTGGGTCAGAGCCACCTGATCAGAAACCAGTGCTCCCTATCCCCTTGGACCAGAAACCACCAGTCAGTGCTGCAGAACTTCTCAAAGACAATGTCACCAGTGGGACTGTGGGAGGAGGTGGTGGAGGGCCACCAATTGCTGTGGTCAAAAAGGAGCCTAAATCAAAAACACCTTTCATCTGTGGCTACTGCAACAAGGCTTTCCGGGACAGCTACCACTTGCGACGGCATGAGTCTTGTCACACTGGCATTAAGATGGTTTCACGGCCTAAGAAGACACAAACGGCCCCTACCATGGTGCCGCTTATATCTACTGTACCACGTGAAAATAGTGGAAATCCTTCATACATTACTACTGTAGCTGGTATCCTGACTACGGCCACAACGTCAACATCCACAGGCACTAGCATCATGACCCCAATGCAACACCAACAGCAGCAAACCATCCCTAAGAAGCCCCCCAAGCCGGTGAAAAAGAATCATGGCTGTGACATGTGTGGTAAGGCCTTCAGAGATGTATACCACCTTAATCGCCACAAGCTGTCACACTCTGACGAGAAGCCGTTTGAGTGTCCCATCTGCCAGCAGAGGTTCAAGAGGAAGGATCGCATGACATACCATGTCCGCTCCCATGATGGTGGAGTTCATAAGCCTTACATCTGCTCTGTCTGTGGGAAGGGCTTCTCCAGGTATGTTTGTTTTCTCTGAACTTGCACATGGAAACACAGTTGTTACATTACATGGGATATATTAAAGGTTTTGCTGTATCTATTTTTCATATCTTGGTAGCTTCCCAACATTTCACTAGAGTATGCAGTATGTAGCCTACCGAGTGTCAAATATCAGTTGGACCTGGATACATCTTGCTGTGATTACATACTTTTGAATTATTACTTTTGATTAAATTCTTTGAATACAGGTATAGTCCATTAGAAGTGCATAAAAAAGATCATTTGTATGAATAGGTCTTGTTCCTAGTTTGATATTCATTAATGAAGTAATTGTCATTGGCATTCATCAACAGTTTGTACACACCTACTTATTCGTTTTTCATTTTCATTCATTTCTATGAAGACTCAAAACTTCAGAATAACCTACACTGAATTATGTACCCGACCAGAAAAATGTTTTGGTTTTAAAATTCTTTAAAGTAGCCACCTTTTGCTTTGTGAACAGTTTACCACACCCTTAGCGTTCTCCCCACCTGCTTAATGAGGTTCTTTCCTGGGATGCTTTTCTAGCAGATGTGAAGGAGTTGACAAAGGTGCAGAACCTGTGTTGGAAACTTTCCCTTCACAATGCATGACCAGTTTTTCTTCTTGATCAAACAGTCCTTATATGTCACAGAGATGTGTTTTGGTTCATTGTTCTGTTGGAGATTATTGTGCTGTTAACTGATGATTTCTAAGGCTGGTAAATATTCAGTTCTGTTCAGTGACAAATCTTGGTCCTCCTTTTTTGGGGGCAGTCTTCAATAGAGCCAGTTTCATCACAGTGTTGAAGAGTTTATGCAACTGCACATGAAAATTCCAATACCTTTCAAAGTTTTTCAGAACTGACTGATTTTCATGTCTTAAAGTAATGGTGGATCGTTGCTCCTTTTATTTATTTGCTGTATTTGCAGTATACCAACACTACCTCTGCAAAACACAACTGATGGTCTAAACCAGTGGTCCCCAACCCCACCGGGCTGCGGCCAATACCAGGCCGCACAGAAAGAATACGAACATTTTATTGGTTTATTTTTATTTCCAGCGGAGTCTGCAGGGTGTTTTATTTTGGAAAAATGACTATCTCGTCTTCCCGTCACTTCTGTCTGTGCTTGTTTGTCGCACTTGACTCTGTCAGTTTTCATGCCCCGCAGTCAAGCGGAGCTGTCAGTCTAACCGCTGCCGAAATGAATAAAAAAAGCAAACGCCTCTGGAGAGCTTCTTTGGAAAGTGGGAGAGACTAAGACAGACGAAAAAGCAAATACATACTTAAAAAAATAAAAAGTCATTTTATTTGTTTATGCACTTTTTAATAGAAAAAAAACTATTACATTTTGTTATGTGTGCAATGACCAGTCCATAGAAAATTTTCTTGCTTAAAACCAGTCTGTGGTGCAAAAAAGGTTGGGGACTGCTGGTCTAAACCACAGTAAGATGGCAAGAAATTCTACCAGTTAACTTTTGAAAAGGCTCACCGGTTTATTGAAAAGCACTGCAGGCGACTGCCTCATAGGAATGTCAGAGTACATGTAGTCATCCCAAACCCATCGATTTGCTTCAAGATTACACTTCTCTGATTCAGTAGGCATGGCTTAAAGTTTTCTGGCATTTTACTGGAATTCTGATGGGGGATTGGGCCATTTAAATTTCAGAAACAGACAAGTATATATAATCATGAACAAAAATTTAGATACACGTGTAAAGGCCTTGCATATCATAGCAGTGTTGAGTTTTCAATATCTCCTGTAACTCTTAATTTGAGTCAGTGGGGCACATGCGTCTTTATCAACAAAAGAAAACCAACAAAAAAATAATTGAGCATTTTTGGGCTTTTATAAATTTATTAGAGGTCTTCTGGAAATATGTTAAAGTGTACTGTGTCAAAAATATACATACAGCAACTTACATGATCAGTTTTTGTGAAGTAGAAAGCTGTGTTAGACAAATTCTTTTAGTGGCATGGCATCTTAACTTCTTCTGAGTGAGTAGGATTCATTACAGCTGAACCAATTCATATAGGGCCCATTTGATACACTTATCAGACTCAGTTGCAAACAGTGAAGTGGGAAAGTCTAAGGAGCTCAGCAAACATCTGAAAAAGCCAATCATTGACTTGAACATGTCATAAACATCCTTGGAGCCATTTAAAACAGCTACAAATCCCCAAATCAATATAAACTTGTCGGTAAGTATAAAGTGCGTGATACAGTTATGTCACACGATCAGGGAAAAAACACAAGCTAGCACCTGCTGCTTAGAGACAATTAGTCAGGATGGTCAAGAGTCAACCAAGAATCACTAAAAAGCAAGTCTTCAATGAATTAGAAGGTACTGGAACACTGGTGTCAGTGTCGACAGTCAGGTGTGTTTTATATCCCTGTGGGCTGAGAAGCTGCCATGCAAGAAAGAAGCCCCTCGTCTAGAAGCAGCACCTTTAAGCTGAAGTTTGCTGCTGATCACATGGGCAAAGGAAAGGACTTCTGGGGAAAAGTTCAGCAGGGAATATTACATCAAAAGTGGTAAAGAAATGGTTAAACAAGGCTACAATTAAGGGTTTAGACTGGCCTCCCAAAAGTCCTGACTTAAACCCAGACAAAAACCTGTGGACTGTTGTTAAACAAACAGGTCAGTGTCAAAAAGCCAATAAAGGTAGTTGTGCTGTCAAGAGGAGTGGTAAAAGTTGCAACCAGAAGCTTGTGGATGGCCGCCAAAAGTGCCTGGTTGTGGTGAAAATGGCCAGGAGAACCTCCAGTCAGAACATTGTTGAGATGGCAGCATGTTGAGAGAGCTTAGATCCAGAGCCTATCCCAGCCAACTCAGGGCGACGGCAGGGGACACCCTGGACAGGTCGCCAGTCTACATTCACATCTACGGACAACTAACCTCAACAGTACTGGGAGATGGGGGGGATATCATAAAAGCTTTTTTGAGAACGATACACAAAATAAGAAACCTTACAGCAAATGTAATAGAAACTAACGTAGGGAAAATTCAACATTTCTTCAAAAAATATTATGATGCATTGTACTCCCAACCACAATTAAATGATGACCATCATATCAATGCGTTTCTCTCTTTGATGCACCTACCAAAGGTCACAAACGAACAAAATGAAAAAACTGATTTGTACAATAACAAAAGAACTACAATCAGCAATTGAGAGGCCTAAGGAGAAAAGAAACAGATTGTTTCCCCTTAAAATGGTACAAAACAATGCAACACTGATAAAAGCATTTAACTGTCTACTGGAAAAGAAAATAATTACCCCCTCATGGAGAGAGGCAAAATGTCTATTATTCCTAAGGAAGGGATAGATAAATAGGAGTGTTGGCATTATCGTTCTGTAAGTGCTATAAATATTGACTGTTCACCTATCGAAAAGATTAGAATGAATCCTATCAAAACTTATACATGCTTGCTTTGTTGGACAAAGACAGATTCAAGACAACATCAGAAAAATGCTGCATGTTATGAGATGAGATACACAACAAAAAATTGGAGACTCTTATAATGTTTAAATGCAGAAAAAACTGTTGACTCACTACATATTATAGATACATTATAGACTAAACAGAAACACAGTTGGTGAGATGAAATATGCAAGATAACGTTTATTTATTATTGCGACATAAATTATCTTGTATATTTTATCTCACTAACTGTGTTTCTGTTTAGTCCATATTGCATTTTTATTATTCCCATTCCAGAGGAGAATTCTCTCACTCACCTGTGTGCGAGTTGCAAATGTGTGTGTTACCCTTCACTCGAGTCAACAAGTATTTTGTGTGTAAGAGCAAAAACACAATCTTTCAAGAAATAATGCAAATCGTGATTTGGAGGCTTCAGGCAAACTGTCTTGAGACCATTAAGAGAAAAAAGAACTAGTAAGAGTGCTGGATTGATAAGCAGTATCAGAAAAGTACCAACAAAGTTTCTCTTATCTTCCATTTGTGTTTTATTGTTGGTGTTTTTGTTATTGTGCTTAATTATTGTTTGCATTTTCTATCAGTTGTATTAAGGTTTCATTTATTTTTCTCATATCATGAACACTTAAAGAAATGCATCTCCTTGCATTGGCCATTAGGGGGCCTAGTCCATATATTACATTGAACCATGGACATGAAACAATGCTATGCAGTACTATGCAATTGGAACATACTACTTCACCATAACATTATGAATTATGCTTTAACCATCTTGCTCATATAAACTCATGCATCTAAAAAATTGTGAAAAAATCATCTTTTTCATACTGCAATTTAAAAAGGTAAACACTCAAATATTCTACATTCATGACATGTAAAGTGATTTGTTTTGTTTAATTTGATGGTTTTTGCTCATAGCTCATGAAAATCTGAACTCTAGCACCAAATCATTACAATGTTTCGGCGATCAATCAAGAAAAGGATTTACAATACAGAGATTTATAATATATGAAAAGTATGTTAATTTATACACGCAATACTTGGTTGGGGCTCCTTTACCATGAAATACTACATGAATGCAGCACAGCATTGTGGTGATCAGCTTGTGGCACTGCTGAGGTGTTGAAGCCCAAGTTGCCTTTAAGGCAGTCTTAAGCTCATCTGTATTTTGGTGTTGGGTATTTCTCATTATCCTCTTGACAGTACCCCATATGGAGTTCTGTGGGGTTCAGGTCTGGTGAGTCAGCTGACCAATCAAGCACAGTAATATCATGGTCTGCAAATCATTTGGTAGTCATTTTGGCTCTATGGGCAGGTCCTAAGTCCTGCTGGAAAAGGAAATCAGCGTCTCCATAAAGCTTGTCCGCAGATGAAAGCATGAAGTTCTCTAAAATCTTCTGGTAGATGCTACGTTGACTTTGGACGTGATAAGACCAACACCAGCAGATGACAAGATGTCACAAATCATCACAGACTGAGGAACCTTTAAACACCTTGGGTACTGTTCTTCTCCGCTCTTTCTCCAGACCTTGATTTTCAAATGAAATGCCACAATTACTTTTATCTGAAGAGAGGACTTTGGACCACCGAGCAACATTCCAGTTCTTCTCCTTTGCCCAGATTAGAAGCTTCTGTTGTTTCTTTTTCAGGGGTGTGTTGATATTAGGAACATGACAGTTGTCGTCTCTTTCCTTAAGACGTCTGTACTTGGTGGCTCTTGATGCACTGACACCAGCCTCAGTCTTTGTAAAACTCTTTCAAGTTCCTGAATCAACTTTTCCAGAAAATCCTCTCAAGGCTGCGCTCGTCCCTGTTTCGTACGCACCTCTTCCTACCACATTTTTCCCGTGCTTTCTTTCAGTCATTGTTGTGCTTCTATACCCTGCAAACAGCCAGCCTTTTCAACAATTACTTTCTGTTGTCCTACTGTACTTGTCGAGAGTTTGGATGATTATCTTCTGGACAACTTTCAAGTCTGCAGTCTCTCCTATGATTGTAATTGTGTGTACTGACCTAGAACAAAAGATACAGTGTTTACACTGTTTAAAAAGTAATTTACTCAAACTCAAAATGAAATATTGTAATGTTTTGAGGCCCTGGATATTTGATTTTCATGAGCCATATTCATCAAAATTGAAAACCAAAAATGTTTATATTTTATTTTCCATGTAATTATGTGGACTACATTACGTGTTTACATTCTTAAATAACTGATGGAAAATGTTGTGTGTTTTCACAATGATTTCATTTTATGAGATGCACTAATACGTCACAGTCTGTTGTGCAAAATGAGCTGTCACCTGTCTGTGCTCTCTCAGCAGCTTGATCTTGTTTATATTCACGCAAGTCACAGTGACATGTGATCTATCTTCAGCTGCACAAAGTTTTGTATATCACACTGTCCAGAAAAGCATGCTGGTCCTTAGCTGACCCCCAAAGTGCACCTGTTGCCACTGTAAGGGAAGCCATGCACCTAGAGCATTGCTCTAGATCATTGCATCAGCAAAATTTTGAAAAATGTATATCTCCAAGGACAAAATGCTCCAAGACACTTTGTGTGATTTTATCTTTGTATCTAAACTTCTGTAGTTAATGTTACCTGTGAACATTGTTTCCATCATCAGCTGTAACATTTAAAAATACCAACGATACAGGCAAGTAATCTGCAAAATGTTAGTTATTGCTACACAGCAAACTTTGGCTATCTGGAGTTGAACCAGCACTACAGTCAGTGAGTGTTGGCCACCTTTTACTTCAACAAAGTTCATTATCCTGTAATTCAGACAGAAGAGAGAAGTGACCAAAGAGTAAGTTATGAGTGCTAAAGAAGATTTAAATAGCTGTCAGATCAGACAACATAACAAAACGATCGGTAAAATGCTGACTATTGGATCCAATAAATGACCTGGCTCAGCAGTCCTTCCCTTATTTCTTTTAACGACACAAGAAAAATGTTGGAGAGTAGAGCAAATTTTAAATGTCAGTCCTGCAGTCAGTCTTGTTCATATAATTGTAGGAAACCAAAATCATGATTGTGATTATATTCATTTATTTTTGCAGCCCTGGCACTGTGTTAGCCCTTGTATTTGAATGTGGTGCTATTCCTACTTCACTGGGGCAGTTGATGTCTACCTGCCTGCACCTGCACTCTGTATCATTAGGCGTATGGGAGTTGTGCCTCTGCTGCTCCACCAACCATCTCCTCTCTCCTCATTTTGTTATTTAGAATATCTTTAGAACATGCAACAGTTGAATAGCTTGTTCATGCATCAGGAAGGGACAAACTGACAGAGCAAGTCAAGAGGGAAAAAATTTACTTTTGCAGCTGCTACCTGTGCTAGTTACCTGTGCCTCATTCACTGTGCCATGCACTTGCATGAATGAGACCACCTGAAATTTTAACTTGTACACTGCCAAAAAAATGGTTGCACTTCTCCAATTTAGTAGCAGTCTGGAGCCCCATAAATAGCAAAAGAAAGGCTATTTTCTAATATGAATAATAATTTAAATGATTTAATCTGAAAAGTTTTCACCTAACGGGCCTCTGTTTGAGAATTACTGACTTGAAGAACTCCCTGAACAGAGGAGGCTTGTCAGCAAACAGTGTTCATGACGAGGGAGTCAAGAATTTAGACAACGTAATTAACCTGCGAGACACACACTGTTCCTACATCTGTATTGTAAGTGGAGACGCATGCCTTAATGTGTCCTACTTGTCTGCCAAATCCAATGGTCAAGGTCATATCTGATATGTATATCATAACATATTCTACCATATAACTCAGGTCTAATCTATTGTCTTGTCTTCATCTCACTCTGCAGACCTGATCACCTAAGCTGTCATGTCAAGCATGTCCATTCCTCAGAGAGGCCTTTTAAGTGCCAAGTTACGGTAAGAGTCATGACTGGGTCTTCGATGCATATTGCTTTTATGTATGTTCTAAGTTTAGATTTGTGTCATATGTCAGCAGCAACACCATTGCATACTCTAAAGGCCAGATCTGGTGAGACAGGAGCTGTCACCCAGAAACTTGTGCTTAGACAGCCTTGTCATCATTTGTACAGGTGTTTTAGTTGTATATTTTACTTTTTGCTAGTTTCACAGCACGGACCTCTACTCAGTGTAAATGACTCCGTTGCCCAAGCCTTTAAACAAGAATTTCGATAATGTAGACTTGTGTAGTGACCAAGAACATAGCTTTCTGATCACTCATGATCCTTGTGAACTGGACATGAACAAACTTGACTTTGATCACAGAAAAAAAGGTTCAAGGTTCAAGGTCTTGTATTGGTCACAAACACAGTTATACGCAGTATAACGCACAGTGAAATGCGTTGTGTACCTGTTCCACACCAAAACAATAATAATAGGACAAATAAAGGTAGCAGTGCTGTCCACCTGTCTGCGTTTTGCCCAAATCAATCTTTTCCCGTGTACTTTTGTTCATGTCAGAGGATAATTGTGTAAAATTTTGTTTGCAAACAAGAAACTTCCAATTGTCCTTTTTCTTAATGAAGTCAAAATGGAATTCCAGTTACATGTTCAGTTCTGATGTTTAAAGAAAAATAATATTCACTGATTGCTTTCTCAGGCCTGTACCTCCGCCTTTGCTACCAAAGACCGTTTGCGCTCCCACATGATCAGGCATGAAGGCAAAGTGACCTGCAACATCTGTGGCAAAATGCTAAGTGCTGCCTACATTACAAGTCATCTCAAGACACATGGCCAGGCCAACTTCAACAACCCATGTAACAATAAAGGTAGGTCATATATCTTCTGTCCCTTCTCTTAAAGCTTCCCAAAACATTACTCTTTCTCATCTTCAATACTTAAACGGTAACAATGACTTGAAATGGTTGCAAAAACACCCCAGCCACACATCTGTGAACTTACCAAAATGTGTTTAACATATTGTATACATTGTTAGTCATCACATTATAAGTACATGCTGATGGGCTACCTGTGAATACTTAGGTCATTCAGCCATGATGTAGTGGAACTGAACTACAGAAAGAATTTTTTAAAAATAACTCACAAAATTAAAGCAAATTGGAGTCTTTTTATGCAATAACTGCAATTACAGCTGGTGTTTTTTTGTTTTTGTTTTTTGTGGAAGCCTGAAGTCTGAATGTTTTTTATATTGAAGATTAAATTCTGAGAGTGTAAAATGAAACTAATAGCAGCTGATCAGTGTTCAAAAACCTAACAATCCAGTTTATTTTTGGTTTCTTAAACACTAAAACTAAAAGTTCAGAACTCAACCTGAAGAACTCTACAACATGACAAAATAAAAAAGTGCCGCTGATTAATTTTCACTCTGTGTGACAGCTCACCTATCTGAGGTGAAGAAAAGTTCACAGCTGCTGTTAGGTCCTCGTCGGCCCTTTGTCCATGTTTTGATATTTTTTAGTTTAAACCTAATTAATGAAGTTATTGTTGTTGCTCCATGTGTAAAAGCACATTGCTTGCTTTCTTTTTGGAGACACTTGTGAAGACATGTAGGCCTACACAGTGTGACCTCTAGTTGGATCCTGGTTTGTACTGATCCGCTCTCAGTGATAATCTAGAATTATAAGAATTCAATTATTTAATGACACTGTGCAAATGTGTGCTCTTTAGTGACACACGTATGGATCCTGCTGCTGTCTGATGCTGCAGCGATTAAACAAACTCTGAGACAATAGTTCTAAATAGCTGAAAGACACAAACTTCAGCTCCTCTTAACATCTTGTGGGGAAAAAAACTTGGATTACATTCTTTATTGGTGAGTATCATTATTCCTTAAGCTGTTGTCCGTTTTAATCACAGTAAAGTTTTTTATTATGGACATTTTGTTTTGTTGCCTAATAGATTTAAAATTGTAGAGCAAAATGCACAAAAAAAGTGTGTTGTGATTTTGGCACACAGACTGTGTATGAAGCGGCCCTGTGATGTTTCCAGATGAATATTGATGCTAAAATGTGGGACAGAATTCTTAATTTAAGTCATACAACTCAGAGTACCACTGCATGTCTGTCTGTCTGTCTGTTAATGTGACGGCTCAGTTCACACTTGTGCCGTGTTGAAAGTGATACGGAAATGTGACTAGGTACCTACCAAATAAGATTGCCGGCGTAACTTTACGGATAAACAACCAGGGTGCACATTCACACATGCAGTTGACCTTTTTAGTCGCAGTCTGATAAACAGAACAGAGTGCATGTATGACAGGGGTATATGTCTACCTGTACTGGAATTAAAAAGCTCCAGTTGTTACTCTGGGTTAACTCATTAAAGAGAAGACGGACTCTGTAGACGTTGTCCCTATTTACAGGTTGTTTTGCATGGACACTGAGGGAGGAACACTGGCAGGAACATAAAGTGCTAGGGAGTTAGTAGCAGAGAGAATGTTTTAACCGATTTATGATGAATCCATTAGTATCCAGCATGGCTGCTGATTTGCAACAGAGTGCAGAAGTTAAAACGGTTTGATTTGCACATAGGGACAACAGCCTGCGACTTAATGCATAAAGTTTAACCAGTAAAACTGCTATGCATAATGACGGCTTGACAGAGAGCAAAATCATTTCAGTTAAAGACTGTAGATCAAATGGAATTTGCTGCCTTTGAGAGACTTACTAGGAAAGGAAAGTCCTTCAGTATAGGCTACGTAACTTTTGTAAATCACAGAGCTGGTAAGAATCTTCCATTCATCTTTATTATGCCTATCTGGCATCGGTGCAGTAATACTTTTGCTTGCATAAACACATGTCAGCTGGTTAAAAAACTAAAATAAATAATTAAAATCATAGTTGGCACCAAGACTGGAGTTCCCCTACTTTGGCAAACAGTGTATTATCAAGATATTGCGCCTGTGCAGCTGAAGAACTGGCATCAGCTAAAAAAAGAGCTCTACATGCTTTAAATTTCTTCATTAATTATTTCTAACATTTCCTATTGGAAAGTTAAGAAGATTCTCTGGTGGGATTAACTGTCCATTGTTACTCTTGGAACTGTTTTCTTTTGGTATTTGTATGAACTAATAAGCTGTGTAGAACCCCATGATTGGGTATTTGTATCATATTGCTTTTGGCAGCGCTGGTCATTTGATGGAGTGTAATTATCAAAGCATGCTTTGTGTGCAAGTATGCAATGTGCTTTTTAAACGTCCTCAACAGACTACCTCATCATTCACTCTTCTCTTCCCAGACAAGAAAAACAAACAGTCCCAAATTACAAAGAAGTCTGACAGTCAAATCAAACATCTCTAATTTACCATCATAATACACTAGAGCTTAGTTACTCGGTGGAGCCTGTGGGAACAGTCGCATAATGTCCTCTGTGGCTCTGGAGAAACATTGTAAAGTCATAATGGGCTTGGAGATGGTGTAATGCAACTGAACAGAAAACCATGAGGGTAAAGTAGTTAGTTTTAGTGACTGCATTCTGTGTTTTGTGTTTGGTATAACATCTATTGGCTGTAACTAAAACAGTCTCCCCTAAATAACTACTGTAATAGTATAGTTTTGCCTGACTCTACTAAAAACAGAGAAACCCTATAAATGTTTATACCTCGTCCCCTCATACACGCAACATAAGTGACCCGGAGATGATAGTGCTGCTGCCCTGTGCTTATGTAACCCCATATGTGTCTGTATTTCTGAATAGGCATAAGTGACTGGCAGTGGAACCACTCAGGGCCACGAAAAGGTAATCCAGTAGTTAGTAGCAAAGACCCCTGAACACTCAATTATCAAGCGTCTGCAAAACACAAGTGGCCAGTTTTTTTTTCATGTTATAACATGTTACTTAAGTACAGAGGCTTTCTTTTTTTTCTCTGAGCACTGGTGCAATTAAGGTTCTTCTGTTTTTAAAATGTAGAGTTTTGCTAATGTAAGGTTAAATTTCATGAAGCAGGATCAGTAGATCATTTAAATTAACCACAAACTGGACCATTATACTCAGGCTTGTTGCACACTACCAGACTGTTGATCTCAGGTCATTTTGTATTGCCCAAATGTCATTTATGTGTTGACTTTGACCAGATTGATAAATTGGCTTACCCTAGATTAATACCAGTTATATTACAAACATTTGAATAAAAGTTGGAATTTTCAGTAGAGACCAGATTACAAATGACCCAGCAGTACACTGTCCATCCCTCTGTATTGGCAAAAGGGAACTAGTCAATGAGCCTAAGCTCATCGGAGATGGTCATACTGTGAGTCCTACTGTGTAGTGTGCTTCCAACCTTAGGCATACACCGAACTTGAGATGTCATTGATAATGTGTTACTGTTTAAAATTAACTTTTTGAATTAGAACAATTAGACAGTTAGCTGGTTAGTCTATTGATCCTGCTTTTTGAATTTACCCCTCAGGTGAGTTGACGGTAGGAGAGATTTTAAATAACTCCTTCCAAGTCCTAATTGACAACTCTCACAAAGGTAGGTTTCTTCAACAATATTACCACAGTTGACATCATGTATTAATGACATATTGACATTTTCAGTTACCCAGCTAAACAGCCAAGGAACTGGGAAGGGCTGCTGGCTTTCCTTGTTTTGGAGGGGTATTATATCTGTACATGGTTAGCCTGCCCTAAATGTGCTCCTCTGTCTTTTTCATCACAGATACCAACAACGTGCACAACAACTCGGCCACTACGACACCAGTAACCAACTCCGCAGCCATCACCTCGGCTATGAACCGTGGTGGCAATGCCAGCAATCCTGTCACCATCGCTGCTCAGATGAACATTGCCACCAGCACAGTCAACATTACATCACCAGTAAACCTGCAGCACCCTGTCACCATCACCGGCCCTGTCAACCTGGCCTCTGTCAACATCCCTACAACGGCGCACATGAATATCGCCCACCCAGTAGCTATCACCACTCCCATGCCTATGAATATCACTGGGCCACTCAACATTGCCATGAGGCCCATGGAGAGCATGCCTTTTCTATCACAGGTTCTGCCATCCTCCCCTCCTTGGTAGAGCTTTTTGAGCTGATGTAACAGCCAGTAATGTTTTAACTGCCTAATAACAGCTGGGGCCATCAAATCGTAGGAAATGTCCTTCTAAGTGGGTTGATAGTGTGTCATACTTGAAAAATTGAACTACTTTCATACATCCATATAGATAGTCATCAACGAATGTTACTTGCAGGAGTCATTATTACAGCCTAATTGGACATTTATGAATTTTATTTGTATTTATAGTAGATAAATGTTTTAAATACTCCAAATCATAATAGGAAATTATTTGTTTTTCTTACAGTTACTCATTGTGGAGTGGTAGCATGTACATAGCATATGAGATAAAGTTTTCTCCCTTCCACAGAAGGGTTCGTGGGAAGAGTGGTCCACTGTATGGATGGGCAGTATCAATGTACTCTTCTATCATAGTATTTTTTTTAACTTCACGTATTGTAATATAGGAAATAGAAAGAAATTTAATAGAGAACTGTTTTACTGATTTGGAATTTCAGTTTTGGCTACTAACCCAGTGAATTAACTACCTGAAAAGTCTGCCTTTGCCTCCGTCTCCTGGAGGCAGATGGCTGCCCTCCCTGAGCCTGGTTCTGCTAGATGTGTCTTCCTGGTAAAGAGTGTTTATTTTCCCATTGTCACCAAGTGCTGCTCAAAGAGAATCATTTGATTTGTTGGGTTTCTCTCTACAATATAATATTGTAAGGTTTTGACCTTGCAATGTGAATTACCCTGAGATTACTTGAATTTATGCTATATAAATAAAATTGAATCGAAATAACAAAGGTACTTCATCGTATTGAGCAAAAAACCTGTAATTTCAGTAATACTTAGTTTCCTACTGGTCTTCAATTGAAATTGAAAAAAATCAGATTCTTACTGATTGCGTTTCTGAGCACAGATACAGTGTCCACATAAGCTGGTTTGACAAACAAAAGAAGAAACCATGACTTTAAGTAACTAACTTTGTTTATAGCTATTAGCCACATTTCTCAGTCATGTCAGGAGATGAGAGTTGCCCAGTGGTGACAGGAACATGCATGTTTCCAAAGTCAGGAACAAACTTTTAGGCTTAGATAAACTCCAGTTTGTTTTTACTTACAGCTTAAATTATCAGAGTGATGTCCAAGGCTGAAGAACATCTTCTAACTGCTAATGTGACATGACTCCACAATGTGGTATGGGTGGAAATTACAATAATGATCAGTTTAAGCCAAAGATTTTCTAAGTATTGTGTTGCACCGTGAATGACTTATTTTGAAAGATAAGGGGCATACATTTAAACAGCATTTAGACCATCAGGGGACTTTTTTATTATTATTAGTGCCTCTGGCCAGACTAAATTCAGAGTAGATGCCAACATGCCTTGATGTTTGCCTACTTATGCTCAAATGTTTCTCATGATATTCTTGAAATAATAATTCTACTTTTTGCGTAGTTTTGATATCTGGTAATGTGCATATTAACATTACATTGTTTGCATTACTGTCAATTCATCCCATGAGCAGATTACATTATACTTTCAAACTGAAAAGAATTTTCTTTCACTTCGTTTAACGTGGTTTAAAATTATTGGGCAGTTATTACATTTCCAGCTGCTGCATATTTACCATAATTTTGTTTGTGTGTCTCCCCTGCTTACCTCTTTCACAAACTTGAGGAGTCTGTTTTACTACGACAAAATTCACAGTGAGCCAATTCATTACAGGATGGTAAAACTTTTGAGGGTCTTTTTTCAAGTCCTTTAATTTCTATTTATTCCCAGAAAGACACTGTTAGTCTGGTAAAAGTGACCAGTTGAAAATAATTTTCTCAACTGGGCATCTAGCTTGAAACATGAGTGATGTGTGATACGTTGCTATATTTTAGACATTGTCTAACCGCTCCTTAAACTGATTTGTATTGACAAAGTTGTTCTTAAATGCTTCCTTTTAGGCAATGTTTGTTCTTTTTTTTCCTATCGTTATTTTAGTGGACTTATCAGTATTTAATAGTTGATGTTTTATAAAGTAAATTAAACAAAAAAACAAAAACAAAGCTTCCATTTTGGGGAAGGATGTGTGATACTGTGGATTTAACTGCTGATGGTTCAGAGGTTGTTTAGATCAATCAGCTATCAACTCCCCCCATTTCTGTATTTTAAAGTTGCTGGAAACCAGTCACTCCTCACTGCTGGATACTCTACACAAGTTTTTCTATAACATCAGTTTGGGAATTTTTGTATGTATTTATATCAGGACTTGACAGTTGAAGGTACAGCAAAGAGGAAATATCTTGTACTGAAAACATGTCCCATAGGTTTTGCCCTTAAAATGGCAGTATTATCAAAGGTCAAATGTCAGAATTTTGATTACTGCAGACTTTTTAACTGTAGAGGTCAAGAAAACTATTGAGTAGTTGATTAGACTCTGCTACAAGAGGAGTCATCAAAAGTAACATTTGCTATGTGTTCAGTTGGTTAGATGGTTTACTTTAGCAGGTATAGGATTCCATCACTGTCAGTCAAACTCAGGAAGGTTACTGAGAATAGTCTTTTAAAGCGATATTCATCATTTGACACACTGACCATTTTTTGTAAATATTAAACACTATTTTATTGCCTTTATCTGTAGGAGAGGAACCCTCCCTGCTTACTACAGGCTAGCAATGCAAGAATTATATCACCACTGATGTGGCCGTCCATCCTGAAGACAACAGAGAAATAAGCAGAGATGAAAACATAAGACTGGTGTCTCTCTTTATCGTCAACAAAGGTCAAAAACAACAATTACTCCTCCTAACAAATATCCTCTGTGTTGCTTCAGCTAGATATAGCTTCATACATTAAGGAGCCATTATACTGAATTTGCTGACGTAAATTTTAACTTGAGATAAATACTATGTGTAGTTTATTTAACTCAGATTGTCAAATGAAGAATGCAGTGAAAACTTATCATTTGCATGTCATCTGCAACACATGGTGCTCCTCACCAGAGACTAAACATGAATCTGCTCAGTTTTTTCTAATATGCACTTCTCAGGTTATTCTTACTGAAGGAACATACCACCCAGTGCAGCAAGCAAGGAGGCTCTTTTCATTAGTTCTGTGGTACAGTGTTAGCAATATCAAACTGCAGCTTCACAGACCATACCTGTCAGCAGGAAAAGCTTGTTGTGGCTTGGCTTGATAGTTTCTTCAGGGAAATTATTAGTTAGTGTAAAGAGACAAATAAACTCCAGCCTTATTCTTTTTTTAATCTGAATTTTCTCTGTAGGTCTCACTTGCATAGCGTGGAGTGTTGTTTATTTTTAATTACTTGTTTGTTTTTTTTGTTTGTTTGTTTTATCCTAGCAGTTTACCTTTATTGGAAGATTGAGGCTGTGGCCACAAAAGAGACTTCATTTTCCCACTCAAAGCCCAGGTGTAGTTGAATGAGCAGGATGTCTTAAGATGGGAGCAGCATTGTTAACAACTCACAGCTATGTTCACCCACTATTTGGCTCTTAGAAACTGGAACCCCACCCTTCCCTTTTTAAGGCTATTTCTAGACGTTTTGCTACATAAAATACTGTTTTCACTAATTCCATTATAATTGATGCTTCCAAATGATGTAACCACATCTTTCATTCATCAAGGACAGGGTAAAAAGTTGCAGCAAAAGAATATCTTATAACAGCTTTACCTGTAAGGGCTACAATGTGGCTGAAGTGTAGATTGTTTCAGTGTGCACACATTCAGAACATATTTGCAGAGCACATTAGGTAGAGAATCCTGCCTGAACAGGTTGACAACATGCACCTGTCACAACCAAGCCAATGGACAGTGAGTGGTGCCAACAAGTTTTTGTGATCTCAGCCTCAACAGTTCCTGCACCAGGCTTACATACTGTCCCACAATTTCTCACTGTGTGTCTTGAAAAGGATAAGTGAATTTTTTTTGTAGATAGAAAGCCTGTTTGTGGTTCATACCCCTTTTCAGTACAGGAACTCTGAAGCACTTGCAGTAAACTGTAGGATATGCACACTACAGAAGAATGGTACTTACAGGGCATTTCAGCTGGGTGGAAGGAGACAGTGATTGCGGTTTGCTTTATAGTACACCACCTACATATGTGTTTTTGGCATCCCAGATGTTTGGCCCATTAATTTCATTGTATTCATGCCATCAGTGTCCACCAAAAGAAATGCTCCAATGTGGAATGGCATTATTTGTGGGAAATCATTTTCCATCTTTCTTTTCAACTTTTTCCAATGTTGCATGTGGATGACTGTGCTTGTCCAGTGTAGGTTTAAGTTCAACCACCATTATTAGAAGGCTAGAGACTTTTTATGAAAACAAAACACTAAAAAAAAAATTAGGATGACAGGAAGCATGTGGTGTCATTTGTCCTTGTCTAGTGGCCGTAAACAAGTGTGCCTCAAATACTTTGCAAGACTTTTCCACACGTTGATGCTTCCTCCACTAGATGTGCTGTGTGATGGAATGGTTTTGTGAAGGAAGCCTTCATCAGTTCAGACGGCCAAGGGCCCCACATGTCTGGCAACCAAACTATGTTATTAGCTTTATTTTTTTTAAAGCTAATGATTGTGAATTTATCATTCTTTACTTCAGGAGCAACCTAGAAACACAAATTTGTTTGATTTTACATTGAGCAAGGTCTTGTAAATGTGTCAGTGGCTTATGATTATATGGTTTCACTTAATTTGACCCCAACCTAATGTGAAAACCATTTGTTTGGCCAAATAATGATGTGGAAGATTTTTATTTTTTATTTTCTGTGAAGTTTGTATGATGAACTTGGCAGATGTGAAGGCAAATGAATGTATATCTTTGTACAAACCATTTAGTTCAGAGGACATGTTAGTTACGACAGACACATGCGAGAAAAAAACATAACCTTTTATAAATCTTTTTGTATTAGAACATTAACAATGGTAATTTTTGTATATATGAAGGTTAGGCTTTCTGATTAGCAGAAAGGTAAAACATTCCTACATTTTTTTTAAATGTATGTCCATTGAGAATAATTATGTAAGCATATGCGCAATGTTTTATGTGCCTTTTATTTGGGTTTGTCTAAATAAAAGAAAACAATAAAACATGATTGTGGACTGTCCATGCTGAGTCCCACAGAGGAAAGTCAATACTGTCCATCTCAGCTGAATCTCTGGACTGACTCGCCTGCTCATGAGACGCTCCCCTAGATCAGGAGAGATGTACTCCTTTCTGGTTTTAGTTGTTTTCCTTAGCTTTAGTTGAGGTTTTCTGTGAGGCTGAGATGGTTGCTAAGTCCCCGGTCTGTTTGGATGCTTCCTCAGTGTCTTCACTGGCTCACTGGCTCACAGTTGGCCTGCTCACAATGTAAGTGCCTCTGTGACTTTACTTATCGGAGTGGATTGTGGGGGATTTTGTGCCAAATCATAGTCTGTATGTGAGGACAAAACATTTTGGTGTTTTTTGTTTTTTTCATTCTTTAACTATTAAACTTGGAAAATGTGACAGGTTGCGTGAAACGTGTCTTTGTTGAAAATTCTGGGGTTATTAAAGTTCTATTTTTGAAAATAAGTGTCTTAACTTGAGGCAGAGTCTTCCTGTTTCAATCTGATAGTGCCATCACACACAAAGCCAGGTCCACAAAGAAATATTGTTCCCACGCTGGTGTGGAAGAACTTAACTTGACAGATCCTTCATAAACACCTTTGGGATAACTTGAACTTCACTAATACTGGTGCCTGAATAGAAGCAAATCACTGCAGCTTGTTCCAGTCTGAAGCCAGAAGAGTATGCTGTTAAAGAAGCATGTTAATGTACAGAATTTTGGGAACACATATTCCACTGTTATGGGGAAAAATAGCTTTAAAGATAGTGTTTGAAATCTAAATCAAAAAGATATATGCATAATATATTGACAGAAGGAAAAAAAATGTTTTTAAATTTCTGCAGACACTATTTAGTATTTGACTTTTCCTTCTTAACTACAGCACCCTTTCTTTTTCCAGCATGTTTATATGTTGTTTTTAAGATTTCTCTTTGTTCACCTGGTGTATATGTTTGTCTTCTAGGTTTGAAACCTTGAAAAATGACAGTATTAAAACTGACACATATGATTGAAAAAATCACAAGTTTACAACACCCAGTTTTCAGAAATCGTCCTAGACATCTGCAAGCTTGGATATAATGGTTTCTGGCAGCATTGCTTTGCAGCTATGGTCCACTCTGCTAATAGTCTGGTACAGCCAGACCATTCTCCACTGAAGAATGATGTGGCTGCACCTCATCATTCTGCTATAGGGAGTATAAACAGTCACAGTCATCTTAAGCATTGCTAAGCCATGGTGTTCCCTCAAAATAGTAATGCAGGCATTGTTTTAGAGGCATAGTTTTAAGCAAGAAGTTGAGCACTGTCATTAAAATTTCCTATTCACCATAAAAACTGGCAGGGCTGCCTTATGACACAATCCAAACCTTTGGCAAAACTTTTCAATATGTAAGTTGATACTCAGAGGTTGTTGTTTATCGTGGTGAAGGTGATTTTGAAAACGGTAAGATGGATAGGGGGAGAAGAGAAGAAAGCCATATGAAATGTGCAGTCAATGACAGGCTTATACCTGAAGATTTTATCTGCTGAGTCAGACTTGCCCTGCCGATATCTGACGTACGCAGGTCAACTAGAAGTCCATTCATTCCAAGAATCACCAAAAAAAAGCTGAGCTGCAATGAATTAGAAATTTCTGGAACACTGGTGTCATTACCTACAGTCAAGTGTGTTTTACATTGCCATGGGCTGAGAGGCTGCCGTGAGAGAAGGAAACCCTTCCTCTTGTTGCAGAACCTTAAAGCTTGACTAAAGTTTGCTGCTGATCACATGGACAAAGGAAAGGCCTCAATGAACAGAAATATGTTTGGAGGAGAGAAGGTGAGGAATAAAATCCCAAGAACACCAAACCTGCCATCAGCCATGATGGTGGTATTATACTCTGGAGCTTTTTTACTGCCAGTGGAACTGGTGCTTTACACAAAATAAACAGAATAATGAAGCAGGAAGATTATCTCCACATTCTTCAGGAAAACCTAAAATCATCAGCCTGATGGTTGAGTTGCAGGTGGGTTTTCCAAAACACACATCAAAAATGGTTTAAAAAATGGCAAAATCTGGCTAGAATGGGTTTTAGACTGGTCTCCCCAAAGTCCTGACTTAAACCCCATAAAGAGAACCTATGGACCGGGCTGAAGTTGCAAGTTTGTGTCAAACAGCCAACAAATTTAGTTGAGTTGCACCAGTTCTGTAATAATTGTGGACAGCTAACAAAAGCACCTAACTGATGTGATAATGGCCAAGGGACATTTGAGCAATATTAGCATTTCTGTATGTTTATTTTTGATCCAGCAGAATTTTTCATAATTCCAAATGTGTGTTTGTGTCATCTGTTGAAGAGAGTGAATATGTAATATATTCTGTTTTCATTTCACATAAAAGTAAATATTTCAAGCCTTTCTTTGTTTTATTTTGATGGATAAGAACATGGTTTTGTGTAAATTGTGCAACAATAAGGCAAAAAGTCTTAAAATGTTGTATATTAGTGTCACACAGCTCAACAGATTTGCAGATCTAAAATATTTCCCATGCTGCAAATCTGTCCCATTCAATGTATATGTTCAAAGGGAGACGCTTCTTTAAATTCATAACCTGCTTTAAACTAGGTTAACTCCACAGAATAAGTTACCATGGCAATCTATCAGGTCAAAAGAGAGTCACCTACGTGCTTCTATAAACTCTGACTTTGGGTGGCTAGGTAGCCAATGAGAACTAAGGGTAGCCTTACAAGGGAAATGAAGCACTCAGGCAAGTTAGCATAATTCACTACGTATATATCCACTCTGATCATAAAGTATATAACAAACACAAAAACTCAAAGTATATAAAAGGAAAAAGAAGATCCTTTAGTGTCTTTTCTCCAAAGGTCGCTGCCAACTTGGAGTAAGACAACTGGTGACGTCAAAGGGTTGGTTAGCTTTGCTGGTTTAGAGACAAAACAGTAAAAGACAGATCGTGAAAGAGAGATCGTGGCCAATAGAAACAGTGAAAGATGGAGACTGAGGAGCCACAGATCAAAAGAAGACAAAGGAAAGCCACGACTGCATTACTCCTGGATATAAGAATGAATTTTACAAGGTTAAAGCCATGGGCAATACAGTCAACTATCATAACCTGCTGCTGAAACAGAGAACAGTACTGATGCGCCATCTAGCAGCACTGAAGAGAAATCATCTCTGATTGGCTCTGACTTCAGGGTTTGTAGTGAACACTTTTTGGAGGATGATTACATTAAGGAGAAGGTGGTGGAGTCTGGCAAGCTGGACCAACAGACTATAAAGCCTGACGCTGTCCCGTGAGTTTTCAATTTCCCCGGCTATAATGTTAGCTTTACTGACTGCCCAACATACTCGGAAAACAGCCGTACAGCGACAACATTCCACTACAGGGAAACAGCACTAAATGGCAAACTATAAAGCGTTGTATTCACTGACACCCGTCGCAGACACAAAGCTGTTTGATAAGAACAGCATCACTGGAAGCAATGAAGTCTAACACAGCGCCTCTGAATGTCTCTTACTGTGTTGTCTCCCAGCCGAAAGATTTGCATTGCATCTTTGCAGCATTGGCGTTATCTGATGGGAGCTTGGCTATACAATAAAACAGCCAAAATGACTGTCATAAATAAAAAATAAAAAATAAAAAAAGAACTACAATCATTCTAAACACCCAGTTATCAAAGTATTCTAAACTCATGTCAATAGACTACATGTGATTCCTCTGCCAGAGCTCAGAGCTGATGCAAACCTCTATAAAGCATTTCTTACCTTGACTTTACCTTTTCCAAAGCAGTCAACCAAAACTCCAAACTTTAGATAATATTCAGGTATGTCCAGTTCCATTTTTTTCCTCATGTTTCTTCCTTTTACAATGTGTAATGCATACACCAGTGGGATAACAGTGGTCTAAACTGGTCTGAAAATTTCATCTTCCTCCATTTTAACAGGAATATGTTCAAAGCGGTTCAGAAATGCTTCACTGTGTTGACCTGCTAACAGAAGCAACCCACACCATTTCGTAAGTACTGACATCACTTCGGGGACTCACTTGCTAGATCGCTCAATAGAAATCATTTTACTTGCCCTTTAAGAATCCTTCTTGTGTACATATTATATTGGTATTTAAAATATACGTTTTGTTTTTTTGTTTTTTGTTTTAAACAGACTCTCTTCTTAGGGGGGCGGTTTGCCCTACTGTAGTCTCCTTCTTGTAATCTATGCCATCGTACTTGTGTTGCACTGTGATCTGGGAGCCTGATGTTTTCCTGAATTGAACGCAGCAGTGTGTTGTTGGGGGCCCCACAGTGACATCATTGGTTCACCGAGCAGCTGTCACGCAGCCGGCACGCGCTACTGGTTACACGCGGTGACAATCAAGGCGATTACCATGACGTCATTGCGGTTCGGTTCTGTGATTGGCTGGCTATCGTGCATAATCTCATCGCCGAGTGTCTAAGGTTCTGTTCACCATGTTGGATCAACTGTTCATCTCAGTTGCTCTGTGACCAATACTTTAAATATGCCTGCGGCACCGGAGGGTCGTGGGCCCAGAGTGTAGAGGTTCACCCGGGTGGCTTCCTCTTCCTCAGCAGGGCCCACCTACATGAACGGAAGAACGACTGTTTGGATGTGGAGACACAGGCACCTAGCTAGCTCCGAGCTGTCAGGTTGAATACTGTATTTTTTTTCTAGCTCCTGGCAGCAGGAGAATTTATTCGAAGGATTTAACTTTTCCTCGCGTTGTTATTTAGTCTCACTGGATGTGTGCTTACGGTCCGCAAGAGAACAGAGTGACGTGTGCTAAACACAAGGCTGTCGATGGGGGAATTAAGTAGTCTACCAGCCGTCTGTGAGGATTTCACTTCTCGTGTTTTGAGTCATGGTCGAAGCTTCGTCACTCTGTCAGAATGATGGGGGTTTCTCTGCAGGCGCGCGGCTCAGTGGATCGCTGTAGTAATATGTGAGTGTGGTGGATGTCCGAGGCCTGGGCCTGCCTGCCTGCCTGCACTGTTGTATTGTGGCCTGGGCTGGGATACACCTCCTGCACCGGATCAGCAGCGTTAATTACGGCTCGGAGATTACCCCTGTTTACGGAGTAGCAGGCCTGCGCACACATCTGAAGGAGGATTCAGGTGGGAATAATAGATGCGATTTCCAAGTCGTGTGGAGCCCCAGGGGTGGGAAGAGCAACTGTGCTGGACCAGAGCGTGTGGCAAACTTAGACACTTCTGAAAGATGAACGCTCTGCTTTCCATGTGACATGTTGTAGATCACACTGTTCTATCAAGACGGGGAAGCTGAATTTCATCAGGAGGGAGGGGGGCGCCACCTCTGTCATGAGGGACATCTAGGGCCACCGACTTTTTTTTATTTATTGAGGGGGGAGCGGGTTACTTTTTATTGAATAGTTTTGATTTATCATCGCTAACAGTGGCACTCTTAAGGGCTGCACAGATTTTAGACCAGGGTGATCATTGCTGTACATGCTCATGATATGCTTTCCGTCATTAGCCTCAGGCTCCACTTGTCTAATTGTGTGCAAGCAAGAAAAATAATTTAGAGAAAGTGGGTAGAGGCATTATGATAACGGGGCACATCAGAATAGTTTCTCTTTCGATATATTCGAAATAGCTGGTGTTGGATCATTAAAACCCCAAATCTGTTTTCTATGTTTTCGCTAAGTTTCATTAGCCATAGTTAGTGTTGCAGTCTGATAGCATCACCATCACTTTTAGAAGAAGGTTCTGAAAGCAGGCATTTCTGCATCGTTGAATGGCTCTTTGCGACACAACTGCTACAAATGTTACAAAAATGATGGCCGCTTACAACGGTGGCTCCTCAGCAGTGGCTGCCCATCACCCGCATCACCACCACCAGCTCCAGCACCTTCCGCCTCCCCACATGCACCACCACCACCACCACGCGGGTCAGCATCACTTACAGCACCCGGGCTCCGCCGCCGCTGTGCACACGGTGCAGCAACACACCTCCACGGCTGCCGCTGCGGCGGTGATGCTCAACCCCGGCCAGCAGCAACCATACTTCCCCTCTCCTGCCCCCGCACAAGCTCCTGGGCCGGCGGCGGCCGCGGCTCCCGCCCAGGTTCAAGCCGCCGCTGCCGCTGCCGTCAAAGCTCACCACCATCATCATCACCACCATCAGCAGCAACACACGCACCACCTACAACAGCAGCTGGACATAGAGCCTGACAGGCCCATTGGCTATGGAGCGTTTGGGGTTGTCTGGTAAGTGCACTGCACTACGTTTTCTTAACAGAGCGCTTTATCCCGCACCACAATCCATGAATACAATCTGTACAAACATGGCACCGGGTTGAAACTCAGGGTCCAGTTTTAAGAACAGGGGTTATGTCTAGCTCTCCGGTGGCCTGGCACAACCGAGCCTTTATGGTCAGCGCTGGAAAATGCCTCCAAAGCTACTGCTCTCCTTAATGCAGTGACTTGTAAGATGTTGAAACTTGAGACAACATGACACACTGTGTTTAGTGATTTATTTATTTGTTTGACTTTTATTGAGCATTTTTTGTGGTAATCCAATGTAAACATTTCAAATATGTGCACACAGTCAATAGTATTCAGCAATCTACAAGTCTGTTTACTCAAGTGTATCCTGCTTTTGACAGTGGTCAGCTGACTAGAGACATGAGTAGGTTTTTAAATACAATGATTGTATTAACTGGTAGAACAGCTAAAGGCCGTTAGTGTTGTGGTGACAAGTGAAATCACTTGAGCAGTCTTTGTTTGGCTCGATAACAGTGTATGTTAAAAACTGGGTACCTGAAGTCTAAAGTTTCCTTTTAGTGAAAATCAAGTTCTTTACATTGTTAATGTGTCCATTTGTTTTTATATGCTGTAAAGAAGCATGAGTCAAGTAAGCATACAACTTCATAGAGGAAGCAGAGTTACATCCAAGCAAGCTTTAAGGCAGGAATGTTTTAGTGGGTAAAACTTATAATTCTGTAACTATGATGCAAAGAGATACATTTGTAGAGGTTTGTTCAATGACTAGAGAGGCACTTTAAAAGATGTAGATGTTCACCACACAGGAAGAATTAAATAAATTATGCTACCAAACATTGGGATGTGTAATATCCATTGTTTTTGAAGCTTGACTCATACTTCAGACTAAGACTTCCGAGTATCTTGGCCTCTGTTACTTAAGTGTCCAGAACACCAAAATAATGTGGCTTTCCCAGAAAATGGATTTAGTCAAAACTCAGAATTTGCTAATGCATATATGAAGGAAACTCTGAGTTTACTGTTCAAGAGAAAACAGTAACTGAAACTCTGCCAGGGAGCAGGTTAGGTGAACTGACCCAAACTCTGACTTTCTCTCTCACTTCTACCCTTCTGCTGAGCATGAAGAAACTCTTTAACTCACCTTTTTATTTCCTCATTTATACTGTTGATATATTAAGGCAATAATTTGCTGACATCTACATATTTACTAACAGTGAAATATATTTCTTTCGACATTAACACAATTCTATCTGATCCTATTACCCAAGGGCTATCTTTAACATGACTGCTTTGATGAGCAGTCTTTCATCAATGTAAGGACAGGGATTGCGATCTGTAAACAGTGTTCACTCTTCATTCTCTGCTGAGATTATAATCTGTACATTGTTCTACTTAATAACACTGTGACTCTGTGGACAGTAAGGCAGCTGTCAGGTTGTTAACAATTTTGCCTGCACAGAAACATTTATTGTGCAATATCATAGTTTACAGAAAACTAATCTTTATCAGGCCTTTGTCATAAAAAATGAACAACCGTTTGTCATGTTGTAACTGGTTGCACTGATGGAACTTTCCGATCTTAATTAGAACATTTAGAAAGTTCAGAATATTTCTTAGTGAGAGGGACTATCATTCATCTCAAACAGTTTTACGATTCTAAAACTAGAATTAAATTAAAACCACCTGATTAATGTTGTAAAGGTTCCTCTCTTGCCATGTAAACAGCTCTGACCCTTTAAAGCCTGGGCACGTGACCTCTGGGGGTGTCCTGTGGAGTCTGACACCAGGACACTGGCAGCGGATCCTTTGGGTGCTGTGGGTTGTGGAGTGGGGCCTCCATGGATCAGGCTTGTTCTGGCACATCATACAGTATGGCATACAGTATGCTTGATCGCATTAGAATCTTGGGGGCTTGAAGGCTGGGCCAATGCTATGGACTCTTTTTCGTGTTCCTCATGAAGTTTTTGCGCTGTGGTAGGGGGCATTGTTGTGCTGGAGGACGCCTCTTATTTATGTGTTATTTTATTGCAGCTCCATTGACTGTGGGTTGTTTTTGTTTGTTTGTTTTTTTCTTTTCTTTTTAAATTATCCATGCATACAGTTACCAAGAGTCAACATATACAGGTGGATTGAAGTAATTCTGATAAGCTGTTTTGGAATCAAGACTCAGTTTCCCATTTCAGGGTTCATCACCTCAGACTTCAAGGTTAGAGTCAGAGTTTGTTAAACCTGCTTTTATGGACTAGGACGATCCTAATGTTTCTGTGATCCTTGATATCTGGAATGTGAGTGATTTGTCCTAAAATGTCTCACAAATTTAAATTCACGGTCTGTAAAATTTTAACACGTCCCACTTCCCAAAACACCTATTTTAACACTTTTATTATATATATATATATATATA